AGACCATCGTGCGGGGTAGCAAAGGCGCCAAGGATGGGGCCCTCACACTGCTGCTGGACGAGTTCGAGGACATGTCGGTGACACGCTCCAACTCCCTGCGGAGAGACAGCCCGCCGCCCTCCACCCGTGCCCGCCAGCAGAACGGGGTGGCCGAGGAGCCGGCCACCACGGCCAGAGGGGCCCCGGAGAAGGCAGGTGGCCGCGGCCGGACCACCGGGCGAAGCGAGACAGGGGGCAGCAGTGGTGACAGGCGGCGGGTGGGGCCGGAGAAGAGGCCCAAGTCTTCCAGAGAGGGTCCGGGGGGACCCCAGGAGCCCTCCCGGGACAAACGCCCCCTCTCTGGGCCTGATGTCAGCGGGGCGAAGCTGGCAGCTGGCCGGCCTTTTAACACGTACCCAAGGGCCGACACAGACCACCAGTCCCGAGGTGCTCAGGTAACTGACCTCCCACCCCGCCCCTCCCCTCCCATGTCCGCTCTGACTGTGCTCCCCCCTACCCCCTACGTCCACCTCATCCTGATCACCATGTGTCTGTCCCACTGCCAGGCCCTCTTGGTGCAGCCCTGGGCGTCTTCCACTGACAATTGCCCCCTCTTCTCTTCCAGGGGGAGTCTCACGGCAGGGCCCCTAACGGGCCATCTGTGGGGGGAATGGCTGGGCCCGAGTCCTCCTCCTCCTCCTCCCGGCCCGCCACCCAAGTCCGAGGCACCACCAGCCCCGGGGTGCTGGGCCCCCATGCCTCTGAGCCCCAACTGGCCCTTCAGACCTCTACCACGTCCATCCCTGCAGCTCTCCCCGCCCCCCCAGCCTCCGGTCCCCCAGGCCCTCGCTCACCCCAGCGGGAGCCCCAGCGGGTGTCCCACGAGCAGTTCCGGGCGGCCCTGCAGCTGGTGGTGGACCCGGGCGACCCTCGCACGTACTTGGACAACTTCGTCAAGATCGGCGAGGGCTCCACCGGCGTGGTGTGCATCGCCACCGTGCGCAGCTCCGGCCGGCTGGTGGCCGTCAAGAAGATGGGCCTGCGCAAGCAGCAGAGGCGCGAGCTACTCTTCAACGAGGTG